GTTACCAGGATTAATATATTGCCCAAAAAAAGGTGAGCCTTTTTTTAAGACATGTACGTTAATTACAGCCAGAGCGGAAAGAGATCACAATAATTAAAACTGTGGAAATTTTGCAGTAACTTGAGGAGAAATCTGAAAGGAAAGCAATATTACAAATTAACATTTCACATAGTAAGAATCATGATTCAAACTATTTACGAAATTTTCATAGGTAGTAAAAGGATAGAGAAGAAAATTCGAGTCAGACAAAACCTTCATTCAATCTTTATCGGTAGCAAAAAACGGATAAAGCAACTACCTTTAAGATATATTTTAACCATCGTGTCTTAAGAATGGGCTTTGCTGGAATCTAGTTCACCATTTATACACGTCATATCAGAAAATAACACAAAACCGAAAAAAATATTTGCCAGTTTGTTTCCAAAATATATTCTGAAAGTTTCAAATTCAAAAGGGTAAAAGTAGTCGGTATAACCAATGTAACATTACTGTTGGTCTTATTTTATACGAAAAAAATGGCGGCCATATAAGTGTATGGCGATGTTGTCGTCTGTGTCGTCGTCGTCGTCCGAAAACATTTGGTTTCCAAACAATAAGTTTGAGTATAAGTAAATGGATCTCTATGTTTGATTTGAAAAAAATGAATAGTTAAAGTTCTTTCATATGCTGAATCTATGCGTGTATTTAGATTTTGATTTTGGGAACAGTAGTCAACTTGGTCCAAATTGGGTTCCAAAATGAAACTTTGTTTGATTTTGTAAACAAATGTGTTAATGGTGTTCTTTGATATGCCCAATATAACAGTGTATTTAGATTTTTGATTTTGGGCCCAGCTTTCAAGTTGGTCCTAAACAGGGTCCAAAATAAACTATGCACGATTTCATCAAAAATTGAATTCTTGGGGTTCTTTGATATGCTGATTCCAACCATGTATTCAGATTTTGGATATTTCACCATAATGGGTAAATTCCAATTAAAAATTATTCAAGTACTTAGACCACATTCATTCTGTGTCAGCAACTTTGCTAGATAAAATATTTAATCAGATCTGTATTGCACAATTAATAGAAATTATTATAAGTAGAGTCAAAGTTAAAAATAGATATAGCATCATATGCTTAACCAATTTTAGAGAAAAAATATAGTTTGAAATTTACTGTTCATTATTAGATTATAGAACAGTTATGTAGAGCTGTAAATCTATCGTGTCATCTGTACTATTATTTGTCTGTTTGTCTTTTTATTTTTTGGCCATGGCGTTGTCAGTTTGTTTTCGATCTATGAGTTTGACTGTCCCTCTGGTATCTTTTGTCCGTCTTCTATCATCGCATGCTTATATAGGGGCAGGTAATATTACTTAATAAACAGATGTTTAAAACAATAACTGAGTTAGTTAATATGGAGAGATGATTATGTCCGGTTTTTAATATTGCCACTCCAGGACAGGAACATTGAAGTTAATTGACATTTTGTTTATTTTAACATTTTTATAACTAATAATGGAAATTGAATATTAAAGTGAATGAGGGAAAGTTTGTGATGTATTAATTCCCTACACATTAGCTAATGTGTGTATTTGTTTGATTGTTTTGTAATTCTTTGTTTATTATATTCCAATGTATTTCATGAGGGCCTCAGGGAAGATTAGTTTTACAGCTAACTGTGTAACCCTCTTTAAATAAAGAATTATTATTACATTATTAAATTAATGAAATTTTTATTTTTCTCCCTATGAAAACACTACACACAATTTGTATTACATATTTACATTTGAAATTAAAACAAGAATTATCTAAATCTGGAATAATTTTGAATTCTGGAAAATTGATAAGGAATATATGATGAAAATTAACCCAATTTAGGAGGAATAGCCATTCATGCATGACTTAGGGGGGTTATTTAGTTCATACTGAAATATCAGTGAAAGTAAAATTAACCATAGCAATGCGCGCATGGCTATCCCTCTGTAGTTAGGTTAGTTTTCATCATGTATTTCCCATCAATTTTCCGGAAATCAAATTATTCCAGATTCAAATAATTCCTTGTTTTGACTAAATATTCACATTTATGAATATTGATAAGTGTTGTGTATTTACTTTTAATTAAGTCATGCAGCAATTGCCATCTATTATCAAGAAAAACAAAACATGTAATATTCATCAACTAACACACTTATAATGGGAGTGACAATTTTGTGTTTCTATAATGGTGTGGCTGATAAGCTGATTTAAATCCATCCTCAATTTGATGCAAATTCTTTTGGATAACTGTATGACTGTATTAATGGAGAAAGATATTTTGGAAATTGCATGTTTTTTTTTTTTAAATTTTTGTAAATTTTTTGAGGAACTTCGTGATAGGTTTGTTCGTTATTCTGTATAAATTACTTTTCAGAATGATATATATATATCATTCTGAAAAGTAATTTATACAGAATAACGTATATATCATTCTGAAAAGTAATTTATACAGAATAACGAACAAATCTATCACGAAGTTCCTCAAAAAATTTACAAAAATTTTAAAAAAAAAACATGCAATTTCCAAAATATCTTTCTCCATATATATATATATTTATTTTTTTTTGATGGAGCAAACCATTTAAAACTTATATTGTGCATTAATTAATAAATTAGTTCAATTCTTGGTGTACTTGGATATGTTGAATCTGTCCAAAATCTGGGTCCAAAAATTGAATATATGCGATTTTTCTATATGCTTAATCTAACCTTGTATTTAGATTTTGGATTTTCATGGCCCTGCTATCAAATTGGTCTACATTGAGGTATAAAGGGTCCAAATTAAAGTTTTTTTGATTTTATTAAAAATTAAATTATTGGGATTCTATGTTATGCTGAATCTAACCTTGTATTCAGATTTTGGATATTGGAGCATAAAAGTTAAAAAGTTCAATTTTAAGTTTGCAGTTCTTGACCACATTTATTCTGTGTAAGAAACGTATGATGTGTCAAATATTTAATCACTTTTCATATTCAGAGCGGTATCTAGCTTAAATATAGTGTCCATACTTGCCCCAACTGTTCAAGCTTCGAACTCTTCGGTCGTATCAAGCTGCATCCTGCCGAGCATTTTAGTTATATATGCACGGATCAACTGGACTGTTTATTGCTTGCTTTATTTTTTCATTTCTGGAAATTTCTTCTATTATTCTATTATAATCCCAGTTTGTATTGGGGCAAGGATTATCCTATCAGTATAATGAGTGGATCCATTGTAAGTTGGATTGCAGTTTTAGAGATCATAATAAACGACCATTCCTTCAGTAAATATTAAGGTTATATCTCCTCTTTATAATTAAATTTCCTTTAATATGTCTTTTTGATTTCAATCAGTAATTTAGTATTTTGAAGCCTGACTTATTTCATCATTCCAAATTAACCTTCTAATTGTTTTTGTTGTTATTTGCTTTCTTTAACGTTGTATAATGTCTTTTCAGGTTTGTTATCTTCGGCTTGAAATTTAAGATTGATAATGTCAATTTTCAGACTCTCCAAAATGAAGATTTGATATTTATTATCATATCAGTTTTAATTTGGCCTTTTTACAATGTAAGACTTTAGTTGTTTGGTTTTTAGTCCCCTACCGACGAAGTCGAAGGGGACTTTAGGTTTGCACTCCGTCCGTCTGTCCGTCTGTCCATCCGTCAGTCCGGCAAATCAGCTTGTCACACTTTTTTTCTTCGTTCTTGAAGATATTGATTTGATATTTGGTATATAGTTTTATCATGACAAGTGATAGATCAAGTTCGAATTTTGTTCCGGTCTGATGATTTAGTCCAGAGTTATGGACCATAACTCTGGGCCATATCTAATGTTAGAGTACATGAACTATGATAAACCATATTTCTGTACAAAGGGAGATAACTCATTTTTTAAAAGACATTCTTTGTTAAATTATTTGAAGAATTTTTTGGCAGGTTTGTTTAAACTATTTTTTGAATGCTATATATATAAAAAAAGATTATGAAGAGAAATCCTTTAACTAGATAATAATCTATTTTATTAAGGTATATATTTCAATACATTACATTGTGTAGATAAAAGTTGTTGAATTTTATAGATAAGTTACAAATCTATATTAGTTTGTGACAAATGAAAGAAAAAATATTTGGAACTATTAATTATATTTGATTATAATTTGAAAAAAGATAAACACTGTATTACATCATATCTAATTTTAGAGAACTATTAATCATATCTAATGTTTTTTTCACTCATATAATCAGTTTTCCACACTGTTTTTAGTCATGCTTGAAGATATTGACATGATATTTACTTTTTGTTTACACCATGACAAGTTATAGAAAAAGTTAGCATTTTGTTCCAGTAAAATGAATTTTTACCTGGTAGGGGACTATGTATTGCCATGCAATACTCTCAGAATGCTTGTTTATTTCATCGTCTCCATACTTCTTATTTCATCACAGCACATACTGGTGTATGGTCGGACAACGTGATTAAAACTCGGATGATTAGTTGTCTCATTTGCAGTCAACATACATCTCCTTATTTTTATATCCATAGTTTTACTTTAAAGCCAATCCTAACATAATCAGAGTGTTAGTTTTAATGTAAACATTCGTTTTCAGAAAATTACTCGCGCTAGGTGATTCAATCTACAAATAAATATCCGGCAGGCTTTACATTTTATTACTTCTACTTTGACTATTGTTCCTTGCTGTAGTACCCCAAGAAATTGCTACACCTTAATCTATATTTAACTTACTAAAACCATCAGTATTCAATTGGTATGTCCTTGATTTAGGTTGACCTGTGAGGTAAGCTTGTCATTTAATTCATGCAGGTGAAGGGATCAGCAGAAAAAGAAAATAAAAAAATTGGGAATCTATTTTTTAATGACCGTGAGTTCTTGACACATTCGCGACTTGATTCCTTTTATGTACAAAATGAGACGTTTCTTTTACGTTCTAATAAATCATCTCATTCTAAAAATATCTTAAGTGATTGTTTATCTTTTAGATGATATCCCTCCCATACCACTGTTGTAGATTGAAGTTCATATGATAAAATACTTGTGTCCTACATGTACAATATGGTGAAAGGGAACATATATATTTCCTGGGAAAGCTAAAACGAAACCAAATTTATATATCCAGGAACAACGTCCAACTTCTTAAGGTAAACACTCTTACAAAGCCTTATTCGACCATACTTGATTTATTGGTACATAAAGTTATCAAGAATGTTCATCATTGTTATATTAAGCTGATAGACATAACTGATGCAGATTAAACAACCACTATCGGGTACCGTACGACCTTCAATAATGAGCAAAACCCAAACAAAAACAATTAGAAGGTAAAATTAGGATGTTTGGGGAATGAAATTTTACGAGGAAACCCCATTTAGCCCTAAGGATTCCGGGCTTTTCAAGAATTTTTTCTGGAGGAGAAAATAAAAATACATATATACTGACTACCTTACACGAATATGAAATATAAAGTGGTGCGGGATCGTATCTGTTTGACTTTATACACTATAAACCCCAGGGAGCTTGTAACGTGTACCTAGCATTGTCTTGCTGATCATTTTTGCTGTAAATAGTTTCTCTGTATTATATTTTTCGCCCGAAACACAAAAATGTGTAATAATCGTCATTGATGGATAAGAATGTGTTCTATCTAGATGCTAGATTCTTGTTTAAAGTTTCTCAATATCTATTATAGTTTTCAAGGTTTATGAACACTCATGCCACATCTAACTTCTATCACTTCAAATGTTGCTAAGCACCTGTCCCATCTTTATGATATACATGCTCCCCGCAGATTAGGCTCTGAAAACATTGTTTTGAGTGTAAATCTCATTACTTAAGTTGCTTTTAAGCTTCTATATAACGGATTTGGGTATTGACAATTCACTTTGAAACTGCACATTTTTATCCCACGTCACTTACAAAAATTAAATCCTGAAGGATCTGAGAGCTGTTCTATGTTCCTTTGAAATTTTATCCAAAGAAGAACAACTTGATTGTCCGTCACTGTACTTGATAACATTATATATGAGTAAGTCTCATAAACAAATAAAGTTAAATTCCTGGGTCTTAAAACTGTTCCATAATACCTCTTTTCAAACTTTAGACTGCTTAACTGTCGGTCTTAAATCATTGTTCTTACTATTCATAAAAGTACAATTTCATAGACAATGACAAAATCATTGTTTTAAAAAATCGATTTACTGAAATTCAGGGAAAAAAAACTGATAAGGCCTTGCGCAGTAACTTCAGATCTGTGCGTAGTTAAGTTATAAAGAGATAGAATTCTAACTAAAAAATATAGCAAAAAACATTTTGAAGATTATGTCTTGACATTTTGGAAAGATTCCAAACTTCAGGAAAACTTCAGGGGATTTAAAACATATAAGTTAATCTAATGGCGATAAGTATAGGAATCTATAGTGATTATTCAAACATTGAAATTAAAATTTTAATTGTACAGATTTACTTATACTAGTGAATTATATTTTCTTCTTCCTCTATATGTCATAGACAGTTTCTTAATAAAGGCATTTTGTAAAATGAATGACTTTACTAAATGCCTAACCTTAACAGGCATTGTATTTTAGGTGTTTTGCTGCTGCTGCTGCTCGACGGTCTTGTTGTGAGGTATAAATAGTTATGAGTGGAAATATGAAATAGGTTGGATAGCGATCGGAAGTTCATAGAAAGGGATGTGATGGTTCTACATGTAATATTCAACCTGGACTTTATAAATGAAAAAGTCGTGATCTTTAGTTCAAATGCTTTATTTGTTAAAAATGAAATTGATCTTCATTTGCGTTTAAAAAATCGATAAACTACTGTCAACGTTATCTTATTTTCTCCATCTTCAATAAAAATATTGGCTTAAAACGTTCGTCCGATTGTCTGGTCGGAATTTTTTTCCACTAGCTTTTGTATCCGCAACTGCTCCTGGTCGAAATGCTCGCAGAATTATGTAAAACATTCCCAGATACTAAGCCACATGATGAACTTCTGTAGCTTTTATTTCATTTCTGAATGCTTTTGCCAAAACAAAATACATTATATCTGAAAGCATTCGATCAACATCTATATTATATTAACAATCTCTAAGCAGATACACAAAAGTTGCAGTGCCCCCGTATCAGAGACACTTTAACCATCTCATCACATGAAAAGTAACCATACAACCTGCAAGGAACAAACCAAATATATATTTGTAGACGGAATTTATTCAACACCTTAACCAATTTTCGAGAAACTGGAACAACACGGCACAGTCGTTCCCGAAGATGACAGAATCTTTCAATGGTTTCCCATTTACAACTTCGAAGCCATCATCCAAAAGACACAAGAACTGTCGTTCGATGAACATGATGAACTAGAGTAGATACACAAACACCTTCCGATCTCTGTTTCCATCTATGCAAACGAGGAAGATTTCACTCAACCTCGATGTAACATAGAAACCGACATCGACGTTTCAAATTGGGATATGATTGAGTATTGGTCTACACCCTCATTACAATTTCCCCGCTTTCGAAACCATACAATACCGGATCGAACACATCGATGGTCCACATACTAGGAAATTAATTTTAAACTGAAACGGTAATTTTGATCTTAACGGCATTTGAAAAGTCTGAACTATGTTCAGCTTTTCAATCACTTTACAGACTATTCACTATAATAAATTGAGTATGGTTCAGACAATTCGCTAGCAGTCAACTTACTAGCCGTCAGTAGCATTTTAGACGATTTAATATAATGTTGATGATTACAGGTAGATAGTTGCTACTGAAACACACTGACTAACTAGATCATAATTGACTGCAAGCGGAATGTTTGAGCAGTACTGATGTGAAAATTGACTGAAAAACTGAAATTGACGTAATAATGTATTGTTCTTTTGAGAGCTGGTCAGATCAAATTGACTGTTCAAGATTAAACTTAGTGTACAAGTGACAAGATCTCGAAGAACTAATGGAAGACGAAGACTGGATGGAAGAACGCAAAAAGATACTGAAAAATCTAGAATAAGCTTTAAAAACGAAATCGAAGATTACTGTAGCCAGATCGTCTGTATCCGGCCTAATTCTGACATCAATATCTTGAAAACTTATTTAGCTTAACATCTGCAAATGCACGACGGGTTTATATTAAGCCAAATAATTAATACACCTGTCTGAGCAACAAACGATTCAAAATCCTGGCCATTACACAATACATTGCTGCCGTAACCAATTATGCCTCGTTCCTTAAATCTTACGACATCCCCGAAGCCAAAGGGTTTTAACCCTACAAATGGTTCGATGACGTTCTGAAACTGAATAACCCTTACTTTCCTTTCCGTTTTATTCTTCGCCGTAACAATCGAACATATCGCCACAAGAGTACAAGTTATTGAACATGTATGGGAAGAACACATAATGATATCTTTCAAAGACTCCAGAGAATGGTACAACAACTAAGACGTCAAAACTTTCGTTCAAACCGTGGAACGATTACTACGATTCTATGGACAGTGGAATATCGGTTTTTACTGCACCAGTACATTTGTTTTGTTTTGAACTGTACATAGGCATACACAATAAGATAATACCTTACTAAGAACATGATTTGCATTCATTTTTCACTATTAAGGAATATCAAATCATACAAATTCATTGGTCGAGAGCACTTTACTATATTCTAAGCTTGTATGAAATCATGCTATATTGATTCACAATTATCTTAAGTACAGAAGTCAAGTTTTACTACTACATGTAACTATCTGAACTCTTATCTTACTTACTATTCGTTTAAAACTATCTGCTTCGCGTCCAACCATTTCTCGTCCTTAATAGATTTGGTGAGCCAAGACGTATACCTATGAAAATAACATCCGTAAAATTTGAATATGGTATTTTTGTCATGTAACCATCTGCTTGATAAGGACCGAATTGCTTTTAAGTATTCAGTTTGTTTGGTAAATGATATTCATGATTGTGTTCGAGAACATTCATCAAATCCGACATGTAACGGTCGCGGTTTTTGAAGGTAACCGTGTTCTAGACGACGTCTGACGATGGTCCTGTCGGCATGTCGTTTTCTTTAGAGCAAAGGCATCGAACCTTGAAATGTTTGGCAGATATTCTGTTGGTTAACTCGAATCAAAAGGTGTTTTTATTTGTAAAATCAATGAAAAACGATCGAGGATCCACCTATGATGTTGTGTCTAATGGTAATATAGAGGGTGTCGTAAGCTTTTAGGAACGAGGCGTAATTGGCTTTGGCAGTAATATATTGTGCAATGGCCATGATTTTGAATCTTTCGGTGCAAAGGTAGGCGTAATGGTTATTTGGCTTAATCGTTAATACTGTTTGCTGGTGTTTAGATAAATGTGTCGACAGTAATCGTCGAGTTAGTTTTTAAGCTTTTCTACATTTTATAGTATCTTTTAGTGTTCTTCTATCCACTCTTCGTCTTCCATTAGTTCTGCGAGATCTTATCACTAGTCAACCAAGTTTGATCTTAAGCGTTCAATTTGATATGAAAAGCTCTGAAAAGACAATAAATCATTTTCAGTTTTTCAGTCATATTTCAGACGTATCCACTGCGGTAAATTCAGGTATATCGGTTGCCGTCGATTAAGATCTGGTTAGTCTAGATCTGTATTCAGACTAGGCAGTAGTTACCATTTACGTGTACACATCAACATCATACTAAATTGTCTAAAAATGTAATCCAAGGTTTCGTAACCGGGAAATTGTTTATCTAACGGCAGCAGATGAGCGTGTAAACCAATTTCAGTCATGTACTCAACCATATCCCGAATTTCAACGTCAATGTTGATTTCTATGATACACCGATGTTGAGTGAAATCTTCCTCGTTTGAAAAGATGGATACGGAGATCGGAAGGTAACTGTGTATCCACTCTAGTTCATTGAACGACGGTTCTTGTGTCTTTCGGAGTATGTCTTTGAAATAGTAAAAGGGAAACCATTGGAAGGGTCTGTCGAGTTGTTTCGGGTTCTCGAAAATCGTTTAAAATATTGAGTTAATTCCGCCTTTAAAAGAATATTTGGTCTGCTCCTTGCAGGTTGTTTTGTTCTTTTCATGTTGTAGAGATGGTTTTCCCTGACACGTGGAGCACTGACACTTCTATGTATACGCTTAGT